ATGGGTCCCCCTTGAACGGTAAAGAAATGTACACCCATTTTTCTTACCGTTGATGTTTTATAAAATGTGCTCTGTGCACTTAGTCACTTTGTTGATCAAGCGTTCCGGATACCCTTAACATGTAAATGTCGATTTTATAGCACGGAGCTCTTCCTTTAGCGTGTTCTCACTGCAGATCTTTCTTGCCCTGCCCGTAATACAACGAGCCTAGTTCCTCTTTACCTTAATCGACATAAATAAATGTGTTGGTCTTTCGATGGTGCGTTTCTATGCACAGAAAGCTTCACCGAACCGTCTGATAGAAGGATAATGCAGACATCTAGAAACGGCAATTGGTCGTTACTTCATTTCTAAAGTGAATGTGATGTTGGTATGAGCAGTGTTGAACCTGTTTATTAGTTTCGTTGATATCACCTACGTACCGCTTTTATAGTACACAGTACTCAATGGATGACTGTAATTGAGTGTTTTCAAGTTTTGCCATTAATAATTCCACGAAAAACGCTCCCAGTGGAGATGCCATGGCCGCTCTATCTTTTTGTTGATAGATCTCATCGTTAAACATGAACTGATCATTATACTTGCATAGATAAAGCAGCTGTTTAAGATCATTCAAAGGGAGGCTGATCTCTACATTATTGATGCGTACATAATTGCTTAAATATTTAATCGTTTCACTGATGGTAACATTGCTGAACAACGAGCTGACGTTCCGTGAGAGTATTGTTCGATCGACAAAGTTAGATGTATCTTTGACGCTGTGCTGTGCCAAACTAACTCGATCTGGTTCTAACAATTTGGTCAACCACTTTGCCGGGGCATGATATGGCGAGCTGCACATAACCAAAATCGGTCGTAATGGTACTCCATCTTTATGTAATTTTGGCAATCCACACGACCTCGGAATAACATTCCCGGTTGGTTTACTACGCTCGAATGTGGACGCATCAATGACTACCCTCCGTTTTAGGCATCGCAAAGTACTAGAGAGTGCCCCTTCTATTTGGGGTCATCTTATCTTTTTCCGTCTACTTGGTGACTTTCGACCGATCACTCAATATGGTATTTATCTTGTCAATGTACTTCATTCGATTAGGCAACGCCATCTCCATTCCTTTTTCCGGTCTGGATAGTACAAAACCGTTATTTTTCTGAATATCTCGTAATAGTTTGATGTGTTCTGTAGTTATTATTTAATTTGTATTTAGTTTGACATTCTGGTGGTATTAGGCAGCACTCACCAATGTAGATTTGAGTCTCTCTAACTCTAATGATGGAAAGGGAACCAGGTCAGAAAGTTGCACATGCATATATTTGTGCAAGCGTTAAAGCTTCCCTGGCCCATTCCACCCCCACACACCGTATCACGAGTAATCTAGATGATCAGTTGAGTGGATACTCAGTTTTATTCAAAAGCATCACATCGTCCCGAAAGTCGTGTGATTTCAAGTTGGGAAATAAGGAACCATACAGGACTTTGACAAAATAATCTTTGTTACTTCGGAAGGCAGCATGCAAAACGAAATAGTTAAGTATGTGGCAATCAATCTGAGCATTCAGGTTTAGATTCGAATCCTAACTAGAAAGGTTCAAATCCTTTCGGAGCGCTATTCTTATAATGGCGTGGAAGCATTTCACACGCTGCCCATTATCTCCAAACAAAATGCTCACGTGTCACAATTTCCCATTCCACATATTTAATTGACGTTTTCCTACACCACTCCGGTTTATTTCAGTTACTTGTATTCTCATATTAGAAAACTTGTGGAAACAAGCATCTAATTTTTCTTCAAATCTCGAGTGATATCTTTCGCATGTGAAGGCGAAAATGAACACTAGCAGTACTAATTCAATCATCAGATCTGCGTTGAAATAGGTAAGTTATAAAATTAACACGTAACGTAATATAAGGCAAATTGACATTAGTCATCAAAGTTGCATGTTAATAACCAGGCTTCAAAGAACTATAAACGCTTCTGAACGAATAAATAAGAAGTGTAAGGTGCAACTCTGATTTGCAGTTACTCACTCTCCTTTAAATAATTATTTTACTGCCTAATAAAGAAGTTAGAATCCTAATGCACAGAGACAAATCACACAATAATCCATCTAATCACCCGGAACCTTGTTCACAACTACCAGTGACAGACATTGCGATAAAATGTGGTCAGCACAGAATGTTCACTTTATTTAGTGGAATCACTATTTACAAGAGTTGCTATCATTGACAATGAAGGCACCCATTCTTCGTGGCATACCGTTGGCAACTCTTGATATGTAACCGTAAGAAATATGGAGGTGATACTGGCAGCGTTCAACGGGATTAGGATCTGGCAATCTAAAGAACTACGGTATGCAATGAACACAGTGGCACAGTCTGCATAACTTGACGTCTTTATACAGGAAGTCTAGGATGTGTCGCCATGAAAGATAAAGAATTTTCTACTTTCAGCCGCTTTGACCTTCAGTTAATGTGGTTAGAATTAACTTTGGAGCAATCAAGTAGGATCTGTTCGCTCTCCCCATTGAGCCAAACAGCTCCCTAAACAATTACAGATCACAGTTGTTCAACGATTACAAAGGGATTCCTTCACACATCTGTAAGGATATATCCTTCTCGGTATGGTTTCACTCGTCACAGGGAGGACATAGATCCAAAGTAAGAACACGTTCGAAGACGAACAGTTGTTTTGATTGATTCATCTTCTAGCCTGTACAAGTCATATGAGCATCACTAACGAAAATAACACCTTATTTTACCTCGTGATTTGGGAGTTGTGGGCGCAGCTTGAGACCTTTAAAAATTAAGTCATGAGGTCCAAGCACCATTTCATGTCCTATTACATTTTCAAACTGTTTGCGATCAAGTAAAGATACCCATATAGGACTTCATCAAAGTTGTCCAGCTTACGCACTGTTCGACCCAGCAACGCAGCTATGTTTAGCTGATCACCATTCAGCACAGGGACTCCCCAGCCTCTGGTTGAATCACAGAAGGGGGTAAGGGGGTGAGNNGGGGGTGAGACAGAAGGCGTTGTAACCCTCTTCGTTCTCCCAAACCCAATACATTTTCAGATCATTTATCTTGCATGTTTGCGTACTGGTCTGTTTGTCTCCCTCCTCCTGAACAGTCATTCCATGTTTCACCGACACCAATGCATCATACTTGTCCGATAACTGCATATTTAATATTCAGGTCACATTCAGTTGGTGTAATGCTTGCAAATCATATTCCGTTTCACTCTTACCATTGTAGAAGCCCAAACAATTTGCATTAGTGAAGTACCAAATAATCAAATTGATCATTCTGATCATTTAACCGGAGTCGAATGAAGTGTCCCTACCCAGTCAACTTTGTTTAAAATAGCGCAAAGTAAGGTAGTGAAATATACCACATATTCCACCAGAGTTTCGTCATCTTATACCAAATTATGTTTGAAGATAGACATCTTTTTCAAATTGAACTTCTATCTAAATCTTCCAGAAGAGTTTTGAATCGAAACAGGAAAGTGATCTGTACACATTGAAGGTGTCAGGCATCTGTTTTCCTTTTGAAAGTGTGTTTTGAAATGGAGAACGCCATGATCAGCAACCTGTTCCGAATCTCCAATTCGTACTATTTTCCTTTTTCTCAATTTGAACTCTATAGACCGAGCCGCACGGACAAACTGCAATCGGCTTCCCAGGCGTGTCTTTGCATATCTTTCTGTATCTCTTCTTTCNCCTGATAATTCGTTTAATACACTTTGCAGACGCAACTGACATTTATTTCGTAAAGTCCACGAAATCGGCCACAAAATATTTTTAAATTACCCGCAAAAGAAGAGGGGGCATTGATAACACTAACTTACTTTCATTAATCCAAATCTTCGTTTATCGTCATGCACTTTAAAGCATGCGACCTAAATGTATGATGTACATAGTGTTTGGGCTGTGTGAAAGAGGTCACTGTCTGACCCCTACCCATCCACCACCCTTGCTTCCACCAATGCTGGTCAGCTAAACATCACTGTGTCGCTTGAACAGTTTGTAAATCAGACAACTTTGATGCGGTTGATGTCCTATAGAGACATCTTGACTTGATCGCAGACAACGTGAAATGATGAGGGGACAACTCGAATCCGTGCCCCAACATTTTGATTTGATAACCTGAGTGAGTATAGACGTTGACACGGATTTGTACAAGCCTTCTTCTGATGTTGTGGTGTCCCTCTTTTGATCAACAGCGTATGTGTATGTACACATCGCGTTATCACTAATGCAATTTGCGCCACGTTACCAAGTTCCAAGTTTGGGCCTTCTTACGTACGCAAGTACGTATGTA